TGTTTTATTCTGCAGGGTTCTGGTTCCTCGTGTTTTATTCTCCGGGTTTCTGGTTCCTCGTGTTTTATTCTCCAGAGTTCTGGTTCCTCGTGTTTTATTCTCCAGAGTTCTGGTTCCTCGTGTTTTATTCTCCAGAGTTCTGGTTCCTCGTGTTTTATTCTCCAGAGTTCTGGTTCCTCGTGTTTTATTCTCCAGAGTTCTGGTTCCTCGTGTTTTATTCTCCAGGGTATAGATGTAGGAGTATGGCGTCTGCACAGGTGAGCTTGTTCTGCAGGAGAACGTCCTTCAGTTTCTCTCCTGAACGCTGAGTTTCTCATAAGATCTCCAGTGTGGAGCAGCATCTCTCTCACATGATGGACGCTCTGCTGCGGCGCTCAGACCTGATGATGAAGGATGAAGCTTTACTTCTTGAAGATCTGGAGAGATGATCTGAGACAAAGCTGATGAAATTAATTCAGAACAACAGAATCTTATCTGCATCCTCTTGATCCCAGTGGATGAACTGTGTGAAATACAGTTTTCCTCAAGCGTTCTCCATGAGAGTCATGAGAAACTCTACCTCACTGATCTGCTCTGAGGATTTCTGTTCAACGCTCTGCTCTTCTCTAAGATCAGGAATCAAATGGATGACATGAGTAATGAGTATCTACCCAGAATCTGCACTGGAGATGAGTGGAGTGTATTTATCAATGTCTCCACCTTTAATTCCCGAAACCATGACCAAAATAACAGAATGCAAAGCTTTTCCACTCCTACATGCACTAGTGCTTTTTACAGAGAACAGAAGCTGCAGAGGAAAGCCCAGGTTTTTCTCTGTGATCAGGAATGCTCTAACAATGGTGTTTCATGTCGTGAGGTTCCTCGCTAATGGCAAACAGAACAGTTACACTAGCAGCATTCACTCTAGCAACAGTTCGATTCTCAGCTAAAAGTCTTAACAATTCAATAGCCAACGGCTAGACATTATTCAATCAAATTTAATATAATTTCCTTACATGCTTGCTGCTGCTGCACTAAACGTGAAGACAGTAGAAAAGACAAGCTCTTAACCTGATGAAAACAATACAGAAATTACAACTTAAAATATTGCTCAAACTGTGTAAAGTGTGTTTGATGATTGTGTAAATATGAGAAATAACGTGAATAAATGTAATGTAGAAACTTCATATTTTCTGTAAAGCTGCTTTGCAGCGATTGATATCGTGAAAAAAGGGCTATATAAAAAAAACTTGAATTTAATTGAATGTAAAAATGAACACAGAAGTCGTCATTTACTTCTGACATCTGAGCTGCTGAAGATGGCTTGATTTTGTTTTTGAAGTGAATGTGCCCCCAATCTACCTAAATGCATCTATGTTCCCGCAAATCATTTGTGATCCAGCTTCACCAACAGAAGTATGTTTTTTTTATTTTTATGAATCTTTGCAAATCGTTTTTCCTAATAATGTACTAGTTAGCAAGTTCTGCGGCTAAATGTGGCTAAAGTTTACAGTCTCGTGAGAGTGGCTTGTCGCCCCACTGAAGAGAGAGGCTTGGTGAGCAGAGCTCATTAGCATTTAAAGGAACATGCACCGAAACGGCTCGCTGTGAACAGAGCTGTTTTTGACAGGGTAAAAATAGTGTTGTTTTACACTACAATTGAGCTGAGTCAAGTTTTAACCAAAGTATGTTATAGACGTTTTATTGGGCATCCGATGACCCCTTTAACATGTGACGTGACATGTGGCCAAGTATGGTGACCCATACTAGGAATTAGTGCTCTGCATTTACCCATCCAAAGTGCACACACACAGCAGTGAACACACACCCGGAGCAGTGGGCAGCCATTTATGCTGCGGCGCCGGGGGTTCAGTGCCCTTGCTCAAGGGTATTGTAGGTGGGAGAGAGCGCTGTACATTCACTCCCCCCACCTACAATCCCTGCCGGTACGAGACTCGAACCCACAACCTTTGGGTTATGAGTCCAACTCTCTAACCATTAGGCCACAACTTCCCATGTTGTGAGCCTAATGGGACATGTGAGTCTCAAGGTATCCTTTACGCGCCAAAGACTTTCCACACTGAGAGCAGATGAAAGGCTTTTATGAAGTGTGAGTTACCAAATGAATCTTAAGGTCTCCTTTCTGTTTAAAAGTCTTTCCACACTGAGAGCAGGAGAAAGGCTTTTCCCCAGTATGAATTAACATGTGCCTCTTAAGGCTTGATTTATGTGTAAAACTTTTTCCACACTGAGAGCAGCTGACAGGCTTTATTCCAGCATGAATTAACATGTGAGTCTTAAAGGGGTCCTATTATGCTCTTTTACAAAGTCTTGATTTTGTTTTGGGGGTGTACTAGAACATGCTCTCATGCTTGGTGGCGAACAGCTTAGACAGTGTTTCAGTACTGCCACGCCCCCTTGCTCTGTCTTTCAACAAAAGCTTTTGGGAATCCGGCACTTCTCACTTGTGATGTGGAAGCTGTCCTCAGTAAAATGTGCAGCAACACAATAGCAAATTGGGGTTATAGTGCTCAGGAACAGAGTTAAAAAGTAAATTGCAACCACTGTTTCCTGACATCATCCGCTTTTGGAAGTGAAAAAAAAAACAGCGTTTCAGGCGGTCACACACCGGACGAGAAGCGCAGCATTGCTTTGCGCCACGTCTTTAAAATTCAAATACATTATTTTCTATGAGTGTAGGCACACCGGCGGCGTCTGTCCGCGGCGCCCAGCTACGTCATGTTGTACTTGTAAGAATTGTTCTAGACCAGCGGTTCTCAATCCCAGTCCTCGCGTACCCCTGCTCTGCATGTTTTGCACGTCTCTCATTGTTAACACACCTGATTCAGATCATCATCTCGTTAGAAGAGAGCTCCGTGCATGAACTGTGTTCCGATTGACATGCTCCCTACACAGTGTCCATTGCTCCCTACTCCCGGAGCAGGGGAAATCCGTTGAAGTTTACTTAACTTCGGAAAGCAGCATTTGTCTTATCAAACTTAAAATAAATGTACTTACATATGCAAATATAAGTTAAATGTTTATAAGAGAGAATCACAATAATGTCTCTTTTGTAGCACCAAGAATGCAAGAATGGAGTCATGAACATAATTCAAGTGTGGATCAACACCAACATGGTATGTTACTTTTTATCTTTGATGCAAAATGTGATCATGATAGGGCACTAGTGGCTTCAAGTCCATTTTGAAAACCTCAAAATTTATAAAGTGCTATTGTGAGGCCTGATAATTTTTAAAATGTATCCATGTTCATAAAGTTTTGCATACAAATTGTATTGCCTAGAATCAGCCTGGACAGCCAGTGGCAATGGAAGCTGGACAGATACCCAAAGACAAAATTGTAAGTAATGTTAAATTGGGTACTCCATCCAAAAATGTTAATTTTCTCATTATTTACTAAACCTCCTGCCATCCCAGATGTACAAATCCAGTCTGAAATGGGGACGTTTTGTAAAATGCAATAAAATCAAAATCAAGCCTGTGAAAATTAAAATCTGTTTAGTTTAGTTAAAAGGTCTTGCTGCAGAATTTCTGCAAGTACAAAGAAAATATTTACAATGTGTTTACTGACCAAATTAATTGTATTTTGTAAATGTAAACAAATTTTGAAATTTGTGATAAGCCATGATCCAGCTTTGCTTGCAAAGACTAAGATGCTCCTTTTATACCCAAACATGATACCCTCACCTATTACCAAATGGTCTGCCTGTGAACTGTTTCAAAACAGTTTAATTAGGATATTCTGTATTCTGTCATGTTTACTTTGCCTGTCTCAACTTTTTGGAATTGTATTGAAGCCATCAAAATCAAAATTTCTTTGTTTTTTTTTTGTTGCATTTAAGTTGGTCAGTGAAAGCATTGTAAGTATTTTCTTTGTACTTTTGTAAATTAAATAAAAGACAAAGAGAATTAACAAACCACAGATTCTCAATTTCATGGCATTTTAAAACACATCACAACTTTTTCTGATTTGGGGTTGCATATTATATTACTGACAATATGTATGTATAATATATTACTTTTTTCTTGCCCAGCCAACATTTTCACTGGCCCTGCCACAAAAATAAAATAGCTGTTTTTATTGTTGTTTTGATCCTTATCTTGTATTCTCATAAATAAATTTATGGCAAAAATTTTGATTAGTTAAATATAAGGGAAACAAATGAACAAATTACAAACAATAGCACAATAAATAAATAAATAGAACAGTTTGTAGGTGATCAGGTACAGAAATTGAATAAACAAATGTAATAATATTGCATATTCCTCACTGTATAAATTAAATATAGATGAATCATTGTTAATGCTACAAAAGTTAATCAGTCAAGAGCAATGAGTGTTTTTTTTGTTTTAATATTAACATTAAGTACACTGACAGCAGTGAGGTCACTTTAGGTGTGCATGCGTCCAATATATTGATACATATATTATTTTTCTCAACCTTTTACTCTCAATTATGATATAACTGACTGTTTTCGAGGATATGCTCCAAGCATTCAGAGACTCAGCCTTATGGGTAGTACAAGCAGCCTAGCATTTCTGTACATATGACTGGAGCTCAAACCTGGCTCATGTCACCCTACACTTTTCTCACTATCTTTTGCTTTCATATCTGTACTATCCTGTTATAATGAGGACCTAAAATAAAATAAAAATAACTTGTACACAATTTACTTAAGATTTGATAGATGTTTAAAATAACTATTTAACTGTTTAAAATAAAAGTATCAAAAGACTGAAAAGAATACGCTAATGTGATGTTTCTGTCAGGAGTCAGGTTTGATCTTTGTCTCTCTTTTCTAACTTTTGCTCTTTTTTTCTATTGGTTGCGCTCAGCTGGTTGCGGCTATGTTTCTTCTTTCCTTTCATTTTTCTGCTATAGTGTGCTTTGTTTCGTTGAGAGATTATTTTGTACTGTCTGCTCATACATGTGTCCTGTCCTGTCGTATCAAGATCCTATTTGTGTCCTCCTATATTAATGGCTTGCTATTTGATTTTGCTCCGTCTTGTTCTCTGCCCAGTTTTACCTGCCTGCTGCACATCATTCTCTGTCCCCGAATTGTCTGCCTGGTTTTGACTTGTGCCTGCCGACTGGTTCCTGCGCTTGCCTTTTCCTCTGGATTTGTTTATCTTTATTGGGCTGTTGATGTCTGCCGAGTCCGACCTTCCCGTCTGTGCTCCCCTGTCCGCCGTGTTCTCCAGTCCCGAGTCCGCCTCATTAGCCGGTGACCTGACTGTCTCAGCTGCTTTTCTTTTGTTCAGCAAACGTTCTCAAATGCCTTTTTTTAAGCTTTTTTATTTGTAGTCCATTATATTTGAGCTAAATATAATTAATATAACGTACTTTTTTTTAAATGTATGTTTTGGTTGTGTATGCAATAGACATGTATGCAATGTTTTAATAAAGTTGAATTATATTAACTTGTATGGCATTTTTCCTCTTTAAAGTTTCATAGCAGGTTTTACGTTAAAAAGAACAATTAATGATTAACAGTATTTGAAAAAGTATTACATAT